GAAGAGAAGCAGGAGGAAGGGAGAAGGAAATAGTGAAAGAGGGGGAAAAAAAACCCTAGTGGGTTTTGCAATTACAAACTGAAACTCAGAAAATGCATGACCAGGCTGAGGTCTCGCTAGCGGCCGTCACCAAGGAGCCAGGAATGTCCCTCTGGCATCTAGCATGACAGCATGTGCAGAGGGTATCTCATGCTCACTTGACAGCTCCCTTTGCTAATCTCCTTTCGGAGGTGACAGAAATCTAACCCTCCTTTCTCTTACAGATCTTTGTGGCACACATTTCCCATCTTTAAGGGAAAAACTAAGGTAAGAAACCTTTTCCACAGCCCCAAACCAGAGCTGAGGCCTTCTTTAGAGCAGCTGCAATTACGTAGCTCGTTCACTGGCTCCCCAGAAAACTACCTATCTTGAGGATGCTGCTGTGAGACACGTACCCTTGGGGCGTCCTTATTTTCTGCATCACTCCAAATCTCAAGTGATGATAAGGGACACGGAGGCAATTGCAATTTATGTCTTATGAGAAGCACGGATCAGCCCCAGCATGAACAGTATGTGGATAACAGCTGCTTACAGAAAAGGCCTGCAGAGGAGTCCGCGGTGAGCACAGCTGTTGATGGCTGAATCCTGCAGGATTACCCCCAGGATTTTGCTCAAAACTTGTAATCTTTCACAGAACAGAAAAGTTGGAGGGGCTGGATATCCAGTTCCTACTAGCACAACCCCCATACAGCGCTCACCAGTCTCGTAGCCACGCAACTTTGTTTTGGAAGCTATATCATGACTTGGCACCTGTAAAATCTTTCCCCTATCACTGTGGACTTCCATTGTGTCAACACACGAAAAGGTATTTTAGAAGTGATAGTGCAAACTGTAAACACATTTATGGAGTTATTTGTCATATTCCTCTTCCTACAAAAGCCAGGCCCGCTTATCCAACTGATACCCAATGTAATTTGGAAATAGCAAAGGGTAGCTTTTCTGTATGTTACAGCTATAGCTGTGAGGTTAAATCTCTTACAGTCTACCAAAACCACTGCCCCGCTGAAAGGGGTGTTCTCAACCCGTTTCCTGCGAGATATTGGGCCTTAACCCCACACGGGGCCAGAAACAGCTTATCAGGCCCACTGGCTCCTGCCAGCCTGCATCAGCTGAGGAACCTCCAGCCCAACATCAATTTT